GTGCGGTGAACGCGTCGGCAACGATGCAACGTCGCTGGAACTGCATCGGCGTGTGTTGGTCCGGGTCGTTCGATCGGCAGCGCGACGTTCTTTGCCGCCTTTTTAGTCGGCCTTTGATGTAAAATCAATGGCGCATTTTTTTTCACTCCCTCCTCTTGGGGTAGGTCGAGCGCATGACCGCGGCGCAACCTGCTGTTCACCAACTCACCTCTGGATTCACCCTTGTGTCTGTTGCCGCTGTTCCTACCAGCCTTCGACGTATCCAAATATGCTTTTCACGCTGCTCAACTTTCCTTCTTCGGGCGAGCTGCGTTCACGGGCGAACGTGTTGGTCGACTCCAAAGGGGTGCCGAGAATGCGACAACACAGGCTAGACGAATGTTTCGGTATAACCTTCGGCGCTAGGCCGCTAAAAGGAATCACTCGTTACTGGTTTCATTTCTCAGAAAATTTTACATGATTTTCGAAATCAGCTCTCTTTGGATACTTTTCCTCGAATAATTGTCCAATTGAACAATAGTCCAATTTCTTTCGACAAATTTCACTTTGGTTCATCTTCTAAAAGTTCTGTCATCTTGTTATGCCTTCTTGAAATGTTATCCTCTGGAAAATTTGTTGAATATTTCATTACAATATGATTGCGTTTCATCTCGATTAATCGAAATTTATCTGCTTTATTTTCAAAAATTGACCAGTAAATCTTCGCTTCGATAAAAATCAATAAACTGCAAGAAGTTGAAACTGGTCCTTCCAATTAATGAGATATATAACAAGTAAACGTTGCTACTCGTCTTCGCAATGTACACACTTCTTCCTCCGTATGATCTTTACATTTTCTCAAAGCACCCAGTACGTGTGCAAGCGTTCGCATGCAGTTCTATCGAACAATTCACACGCAGCGAGAAAGAATTTCATGATTCAACGTAGCTCTTCTTTCGATAAAGAATGATCGGTAGCTTAATCGTCACGTAGCATGATTACAGAGGTACCAGTAAACGCCATATCGCCGGTTCTCTTTCTCCTTCTTTCTTTCCGGCGTGTCGAGGTATGCCGATTACGCATAATAAGCACGAGACGTAAACGCGGGCCGCGCGTTAAGAGGGTACGAGGAAGGACCAGCTCGATAATCCAGGGGTGGCTGCACGCCAGAATAAGCCTTATTACTGTCTGGCATCTCGTTATCGCTCATCGACGTTACCGCGAGCGCAAAATGCGACGCGCACCGCGCGTGCAACGTTTGATACGAACGCCTACACTTGTCGACTCGTTCGCTCGTGAACGAAACGGCCTCGCTTGTGCGGGCTGGAGAGTTCGCGCGCTGACAGTGACACCGATGACGATAGGCGTTCGTGAAAAATTGTAAACGTCCCCGCGCTTTTCCCGTCTCTGCGCGGAATTAGATGGCTTTCAGTGGATCGAGTACCCGGAGGAAAATCGTCGCACAAATTTCACGTGATTATCGTCACTCTCCTCGCGTCCTCATATGGGTGATAGAGAATGAAAATCGAATTAATAAAATTATTCTGCATTGTACATAGAATCGTTCGTAAAACTGTCTGTTTGTGGAGAATTGAGGATCGACACTGTCTCCAAGACGAATTTATTCGAACTGGAATGACGGACGAATTTCTAGAAACGTAAAAAATTATCCCACGTGGTTAGTAAAGAAATTCCTTCGCAGAGAATCTTTTCTCCGTGCTGTTACAATGCCTAGAACAAATTTATTCGAATTGGACCTAGAAGAATGCTAGAGGAATTTTCAGTTTGTTCGCTTTTGAAAGGAACGAAATCCTTGGAGAAGCGTGCCTTAAGGCACAGACGAACGATGGCAGATTGAACACACGGATTAACCGAATAAGAATGCGATGAAACCACATGAGGAGATCCTATTACCGATAAGGAGTCGGTAAGGCTTCCATTGAGGATACGGCCAATCGTGGGTCAACCTCGGCGAGAACGTTCAGCCCTACTACCCTCGCGACACCCACAGCTTGTACGATTTCTAATCCAATTTGATACGAAGGAAACACGATTAAGTTTGAGATATTTGCGTACACAGAAACAGATTGCCGTACAGAACGTCCTTCCTCCGACCGACGACATTACTTATTCGCACACTCTGTTAAAACTCCGTGCTTCCTTCTTTCTCTTGAACAGAAAAATAGGATACCACTCGTGAAAATTGAACTTCGATTTGCAACTTTATACGTAATTAGCGCGGGTTTTCATACATCTGCAGCAGATTTAAGGATACAAAAATGCGGTGAACATGTATGGAAAAGAAAAAAAAAATAAGTAGTGTACTTTTATACTAAACAGAAGTCTTAGCAACAGAAATCAATTTCTGTTTCTTTGACTGTATCCATGTTTTCTTTTTTCTCTCAGTAGAAAAGTAGAACAACTTCCTTGCGAGGAAGTCAATTGAAACGAAATATGTGATATGTTCGTGGTAAAAATTTCGATGAATGTTTAACAAGCAAAAGAGTATTTCCTTAACCACGGTGAACTCGTCGATGCTGACGCCGATACACCTGAGGAAGGCGAAGCTGATGTTCTTCTGGGTTAGGTACCCGTCCTCGTCCATCCTCAAGATGTACTTCCCCGACATCAGGTTCAATAAGAACAACACCGCGCAACTGGTCAAGTGGTTCTCCAACTTCCGGTGAGTACAACGACATTGTACGGAGAATTTATGGTTAACTACGGAAGTCGAAGGATTGTTACAAAGTGCGAGCAACACTTTACTGTACGATGATTCCATTGCATATAACCAACATTTTCTTTATCTTTTCGATGATGCACGCGGACAGATTTATCCAGGTATTTTAAACAGAGAACTTAATTAAATTTCATTAACATTCGATTTGTAAGCAGATTAAATATTAAGTACTGTTACATACACGAGTTACGTAAGAACGGCATTTTAATTATAATTGTTCTGTTTTGAATAGCAAGTTTATAAGAATGTTACAGTATCAGTTAATTAAATTTATCTGTATCTGTATACACGTAACGTGCAAAAATATGTAAAATATTCAAAGTAGAAAATAATTTTCTAGCTAAGGTTCATTTTATAAATTATCTTTACAAAAATATAGAATAATGTTGCGTGTAAAATTGTTTCCCTTATAATTTTCTTTTCAATCTTCTTTGACAAGCAACATTATAGCACATAATCTGTAATCTTATTAACCTTATTGATCTCATTTAAAAAATTCAAAAATTAACGTTCAAGTTCCCTGAGACTATAGCTCCTTTTCCAAATCAAAACTACATAATTTGTACCACAAGTGCAACCCAATACTACGAAACAAAAGAGTTCCTTTCAATCCTCAAAATTTCTGCACGGTAATAATCCTTCGATCGCCGACTGCATGCTCGGTATTTACCAAAACGATCCGATCGTCTGAATTTGCATAACATTCCCCAACGACGAGAACCACCGTTCGGCAACGAGCCGATCGTCGATATGAGATATCGTCGTCTTGGAACTCGTGAATCCTGAAATCGACGAGGGACATCGTTCCTCACGTTGACAATCGTGTCGCCAGTCCCCAGCTACCAGGAAGTTTCCGTGTCGCGGCCGGGAAAAAGAAAACGCGATCGTTGGAGGATGTTTCTGGTACGCGAATCACCCCGTTCTCTGTATGCAAACGAGAACGAGCTTTCCAAGGGATCGACCACTCCCTCGCGTAGAAGCGGTCACAGCCCAAGAGACGAGAGTCACGATGGGTGTGTCCGAATCTTAATTACCCTCTCTTCGGCTTGGGAGTAAGTAACAGCGGCTACATTGCGGCCAGGTACGAAGAGCGTAGGAGTTGAAGCGCGCCGGCTACTGGCACGTTACAGGCCAACACCGGGCATTAGGCTGATTATAATTAGGCTGAGTACAGTACAGATCCGAGATATAAGGCGATGGAGAAACGCATGCCTCTGTGTCCCTGGACATTATTGCCGCTTTCTTATCGTCCAGAGACGCCCATCCTCTTCGAGACCATAAGTTTTCACTCGACCTCTGACATTCAACGCATTCGCGGCTCTATCTCCGCGGAAGGGTTGCTCGTTTTCTGGCTCGCCTTGTTCTACGAGGATGGCGAATTTACCATGCACGAATATTTTAGTTCTCGATCGTTTTTCATAAACTTATACAATGGTAAATAGAAGAAAGTTTAAGAGGGAAAATGATTCATAATTTCATAACATGGTATTACCTGTAACTGTACATCTCGAAATAGAACATATTGAGAAAAAGAAGTGTCCAGCACAAAGTTACTGTAGTTATAAATTATTAATATGGAAAAATTGCTAGAAGTTGCTAATTAATAAATGTTGCTAATTCATATTCACTTTTATTAATATTAAACGAATATCAATTTCAAACTTCCTTTTGTCTGTCACTGTAGATAAAATGATTTACGGTAATATCTTTTCTAAAGAAGTATTTTTATATTTTGAAAGGGCAATTGTTTTTGTACAAGATTGAAACAAGCAATTATCTTTATACATCTCGTAAAATTACTATCAAAGTTAAGCTCTTTCAAATCTATAACATGTATGTACAATATCAAACTTTGCACCTGTAATTGTCGAAATCCATTTCGTAAGAAAGATTTTTATCCTTGGTTCTTCAATCTCTACGCTACGAGTCAGATGAAAAGAATTTTTCCAAATCGATGAAAAAGCTACAGTGATCAATTCAAACAGCGATACATGTAAATTCAGATACACGCGGATACGCAAAGCAGAACGTAGATAAATTGTTATGAATGAGTTTTTCTCTTACACTGATAACGACGATGAATCGGTTGAATTCCATTGAAATTAGCAATGAAAATGTTCACGTACGCCTAGACGCTTTAAAATACGCTGGCGTTCAATTTCATCATCGACATCCAATGTGTCCATCATCGCGCATCGTTTCGCCGATCTCGTACGAAATATTCGAGGCACTCGAGCGAACGGGGGAGACCAGCCGCGAAATTTAATTAACGCAGGAAAAGGTCCATTAAAAAAGCTGGTCCCATGGAAATGAGGAAAGGCTACACTTAAAATTCCGTCGGGGAAAATGAGCGACAAAAAAAAAAAAA